CCATACCGTGGCAGGAAAATGTTCATTCAGAACTCAGAATGTCACTACACTTGTGGGGCTTACAATTTTGCTCTGGGATAAGTCGTGAAGCGTAGCTCTCTGGGCAGCTGGGATGCATTCAAAAGAGATTTGTTTTCAGTGCTACAGTTAGTATTTTTGTTTCTTAACGACCGGAATTGAGCCCCAGATTTCTGTTGATAGAGTGAGACCGTTGTTAAGTGAGTTTTGTCCCATTTTATGCCACTCTTTCTTGCCACAGTTGTTAAGGGAAGCATTGCAGTTAAGTTAGTCACATGGTTGTTGAGTGAATCTGGCCTCCCATTGACTTTGCTTGTCAGGAGGTCGCAAACAACTGTCATAAATATGAGTCAGTTGCCGAGCATCCAGATTTTGGGGATGCTGCAACGGTCATAAGTGTGGAAAAACTATCACTTTTTTCAGGGCCGTTGTAGCTTCGAATAGTCACTCAGTAAACCGTTGCTAAGTCAAGGACCACCTGCACCATCTCCTGCTAAAACGGAATCTTCTTTCATAGCCACCACCTCTTGTGTTTTATTAAATCAGTATGACTTTATTTAGCATGTGAACCGCCTGGATTTTCATACTTTGTAACTGTGAATTAATCAAGCGCTCTTTTTAAGATGAAAGCAAGAAGACGCTCCACAGTATCGGCCCGAAATAAACAAGATAAAAAGTTGGAACAATGCTCAGATGTGGGAGCTGGCTTATTTCAGGGCTGTAGTTCCCAGCTCTGGGTTTTCAAATTCCCAGATGTGGGATGACTCATGGCTGCTGTTCAGCGATGGGGACAGTACCTCCTCCTACGTTGTCCCAGTTGGCCGGACTGACTCAGAGGATGCACGAGAGGAGAGAGATATAAAGTGAAAATGAATCATCTATATTTTTATGTTAACTCTTTAGGTGTATATATTTATTTGTTATTTACTTAAAACATGTTTTCCCCCACCAATCCAAGGACAACAGAGAGGTTAATGATTTGAAGACATTGTTGGTGTATAATGGAGGGTTTAAAAATTAAGAAGTACACCTCAATCCTAGTCAAATCAGATAAGAGCACTAGATGAAATTAGAACTAGATCAAGTTGGATTATATTGTTCCCATTTAAGATCTGACATACGTAAGAATTGTGATCTAATCTTGGATTTTATTCAGGAGTTAAGATTGTTCATAGATCTAGCTGCTTTGTGTACTATATGCTAATTGTCATAAATGCTGACCGGCTTCAACCCTTGTTGGTGAACAAAGGAAACACAAAGACAGAATAATACAATAATGTAGCAAGAAAAAACTATCCTATGAGGGACATATACAAACAACTACTGTTAAAATTGGAATATGTTTTGCTTGCTTGAGAAATACAAGAACGGTGGGACCACGTGTAGCTCTAAGGCAGAGGTATCCAACCTCGGCAACTTTTAATTGTGTGGATTTTCAACTCCCACAAGCCACCTATGCTCTATGTGTTCCTTCTGTGGAGGTACTTGAAAAAAGTTTAGGGTTTTCAAGTGGATATTGTGTGCTTTACTGGAAACCACATGAAGGTTGCTTTATCTTGTAAGCAGTCAGGACAAACAAACACTTCTGGATTGTGGGTTGTTGTTTTTTACTTTGTAAGGAGAAAAAAATTCCTGTCCAGGTATTGAGGAAACAAAAGAACGAGCCATTGTATCACAAGAATCTATGGCCTGTCCTAAGGGCACAATGACAAAGCTATTTTATTTTACAGCCTGCTGTGTAAATTCTCTTCCCCAAAGTGTGTTCACAGCTCTAGCTTGGCTTACCGACTGTCCCATAAAGGGATCATTGCAAGGCAGAGCCAAGCAAAGTAAATATGTTTTCAGGGATCGGTTTTTCCAGATCCCAGCTCTGGTTCTGAAGCAATACGGCCAGTTCTGTTGATGATGCACTTGATCCCAGCACTTATACTGCAGTTTAATGTAATTTCTTAATGTAAATGAAGGTCTTCTGTTTTGCAGAAACAGCTGGATGATTGCCTTGTCATTGGATGATTCTAAAGTTCTCTTAAAGGCTGGTTTAAGTTGACCCCAAAACTTCATTGGATTGGTACAGAAAGCAACATGCTGACAGATGAGAAACATTTCAGTGGGATAGTTTGGACACTACATAGGTTGCCAGTATCTTTCCAAGTACAATTCAAGGGATATTAAAATCCCAGTGTGGTGAAAATGTGGCTTTTTCAGGGGAATATTGGGCACTAAAGTCTTCAGTGTGTCTTCTTAACCATGGGACATTTAAATCTAAATATAACTCTTGTGAGCTGCTCAAGAGTTTGTTGAAGTAAGGCAGGATGTAAACCATAAGTAAATACACTCTTCTCTTTTTCAACAGGGTGAATCCGTAAAATATTTCCTGGATAATCTGGATCGGATTGGCCAGTTGGTGAGATTTTTCTCTTTGTGTTGTTTTGTGTCGTACACATTCAAATCATAGATAAGAGAAGTAATAGCACTGGGAAATGTTCCTCAAAATCCTAGAACTGGATGTTTGAGCATGTAGATTTAGTGAATAATATCTCTTCTTAAGCAGAATAATCACTTCTTATAAGTAGGAGCTCTTATTCTTCCTCTGGGAAAAAAAGTATGTTTTGTGCCCACTGTTTAAAAAAACCAAGACATGATGAATGCATCCATTGTTCAGACCAACTCCCCGTAGTAGCAGTGAAAGTTTGCCAGTCCCAGCGTCAGTGAAACCTAGATTATCCTAGATTGTCAGGCATTCTGGATTTTACTGCATGTCTTGAAAGGCTGGCACATAACTTCAGAGGCTACAGAAACCAGGCTGCAAAGTTCAGTAAACTACTGAAATTCATTCTTCAGATTAAGTTTGCACAAAATAGGGGGGGGGGGGGAAATAACCTGAGATAAAAGCGAGCTGTTAACACAAACACAGACCTGCAACCTTGGCATCTGAACAGCCCTCGCAAGGTTAGCCTCTAACTTATCCTTCCCAGCGTTCAGTTCCAGAATCTTCATTCCGCCGCAGCGTATCTAGACGCTACTTCGGCAGATTTAACTTCCCTTTTGAAGTGTGATCTTTCTCCTACTTCCCGTGTCTTTTTTTTTTTTCCCCTTTTCTTTCTGCAGAATTATTTCCCCAGCAAACAAGATATCCTGCTGGCTAGAAAAGCGACCAAAGGAATCGTGGAGCACGACTTCATCATTAAGAAGATCCCTTTCAAAATGGTGGACGTGGGTGGGCAGAGGTCTCAGCGCCAGAAGTGGTTCCAGTGCTTTGACGGCATAACGTCGATACTGTTCATGGTCTCCTCCAGCGAATACGACCAGGTTCTGATGGAAGACCGGCGCACCAACAGACTAGTGGAGTCCATGAACATCTTCGAGACCATCGTCAACAACAAGCTCTTCTTCAACGTCTCCATCATTCTGTTCCTGAACAAAATGGACCTTCTGGTGGACAAAGTCAAGACGGTCAGCATCAAGAAGCATTTCTCAGACTTTAGGGGCGACCCTCACCGCCTGGAAGACGTCCAGCGCTACCTGGTGCAGTGCTTTGACCGGAAGAGGCGGAACCGCAGCAAGCCCCTTTTCCATCACTTCACCACCGCCATCGACACCGAAAACATCCGCTTCGTCTTCCACGCGGTGAAGGACACCATCCTTCAGGAGAACCTTAAGGATATCATGCTGCAGTGAGTGAAAATGGAATCCTCTCCAGAGAAACCTGGCCCCTGGTAGGGCATCCTTGTCCCCACGGGGTGTCTGTCCTCCGGAGATCCGTGCTGTGCCTTGGGTTAGGAAAGCCGAGAAGCAGAAGCGGGAGGATTGCAGGAGCTTCCAGCAAGAGCTCCTGCATCGCCGCTCCTCAACCAAGAACACAACCGAACGATCTTATTTCCTCTCGGCTTTGGGGAAAGCCAGAGTGGTGGGGAAATGCAAGCAGGGCGTCTTGTGTGAATTGATCTTATTCTGCAACGAGGCCAGAACGTTCTAGCCTCCATACCCGTCAGCCTTAAATGAGTTTTGGGTGCTGAAATAATGAATTTGGTAATATATTTCATTTCTTCACCGAGGTTTCTTTTGAAGAGAACACATGGCAATCCGCGGTCATAATTCCGAGACCAGTATAGGAGCCAGGGGCATACCCAGAGGTTTGCCAGCATTCGGATTGGGTTTGCCAACTGGTTGTCTTAGCTCTTGTTTAAGGAATCTGTCTTCAGCTTTCCTTATATGGAAAATCCAGAGTTGTAAACTGAAATTTAGACGGTTATACAAACAAACAATATATATATATAAGCAAGATGTATCAAAGCAGGTTAGGTAGCCAAAGCCTAGGTCAGAAGAACATAGCTTTGTATAAGATTGTTACTGCTTGGTGAGACATCGCTCCAGCAGTAGTAGTGAAAATAACACACTTAGTGCTTTGGTAAAACAACTTTGATTCTGTTTAAAATGAGATCTGTATTAAAAAAAAGAAATCCCCTCACTACCACAGCCTTTCCTGTCTAACATGGAAGTTAATCTGATTTTTAGATAGGTCTTGGCCAGGAGCAACGGCCCATAGCACAGTAGTGAATTGTTGTTTAAAAAAATAATAATAATAATCAGTGTTTTGGAGCCACTGAATTTGGATTAAAGGGTCCTGCTTTGAGTTTCTTCTTAACTATATAGGGATTTACCGATGTATGTCATAATGCATTTTAAAAAAAAAAAAAATCCGACACGTGTAATTTGCCCCATTAAGGCTAGAATAGAATATGTGTGAATTTGCAGAAGGCTGTGAATAACATTGATGTGAGCTTATCCCCCCCCCCTCCATTCTAAAACTTTGTGCTTAACTATGGGTGCCTTTCTTTTGTGTACAGACAGTTCACACTTTTGTCTACTCTGAAGTATGTGTCAATCAAACAAGTCCTGCCTTATCCATCCTACAATCATTATTCAGGGATAATCTTAACCATGAGAACTGTTTACTGTGACTTTGGTACCATATTTTGTCATAAAACAAAGGGCTTCGTCTTTCCTATGAACTTCTTTGAATGCCATGCACCCTTTGGGGGACAATCAAAATGCAAGGCAATTTTCTAGGCGCTGATAGCACAGGTCAATAACCAGCTTAAAACCCTTTTGTGACTTCCAGTTCAGGGGAGTTCTAAGATATATATATATATATTCCCCCCCGTGTGTAGATCATTCAGATTTACGTGTGGTGTCCCACATTCTAAAGGCCACACTTTCCATTTTAGTAGTCTATTTTGTGCAAAGCTGATCTGCTTCTGAGAAGCGGGTTACATTTGTTTCCAGGTTTTAAGTAAAAGTAAGACAGACTTAATCATTAAAAGCCACAGACTTTCAGCTTCGGAGGCTGTTTCTTTTAAGGGTTACCTATGAGCACACCTGAAAGCAGTTAACATCTTGAACCCGTTATTTTTATCGTCTCTAAATAAGATGTTGTCTTTTGCCAAAAATCTGAGTTTTGCAAGCTGTAAAACGGTTGTCTGCTGGGGAAATAAAAGGGAATGCATCTTAAGTTTGATGGACCTTATTTTATAATTAGAGCTAGTGCTATATTTATCCTTTGGAAATCCTAAAGAGGCCCAGGGACTTCCAGTACATTCCTCGAAGAGAGTCTTGACAGGAGGAAGGGCCCAAACTCTGCAAAGCTCAGCAACATCCGAATGGCACATATGCAAATATTTTAATTCATTTCTTTGCCAGGGGTTTCTTCTGGGTAGATGAAATTCGGTCTATCTGGTAACATGACTTCTAAAACTTGTCTCCAGTAGTAGCACAAGCCGCTTTACAAGTACATTTGGTCATGACCCACACCTCATTTTGGAAATTTGGCACTTACAAAAAAAAAAAAATTGGCGCGGAAGGGGAAATCGGCCACAGTGGAAAAAAATGTAAATTTTTTGGTCGGAACCCAATTTGGTTGTGGTCAGAAGCGTTCGTGACCAGAGGTTCTACTCTACTTAAAACCTGAATTATGCCACCAGTCACCTCTTAAAGTGGTTTTTAAAGAACAAGGTGCTAATCCACACTGTATTTATCAAGACTTACTTTTTATTCTTTTTTTCCTATTGTAGAAGCATGCCTTGCCAAATGTATTATACAGCTCTACGTTTCTTCGATAACCAAATAACAAGTTGTCTTGTGGTATAAACAAGAGCTTACCGAGGAAAACAAATAAAAGGTTTTGATAGCCAGATAAAACTTCAAATTGTCTAATCCACCCAGTGGATCTCGAAGGCGGTTTATATTGCTTTTAGGACATGGTTAAGATTTTTTTACTCCTTCGCCTTACCGTTATAAGCTTATTCTCATGACCCTAGCCATCTTCTGTAGGACTGTGATTGACATTTAATATCTAAGCTCATCTTTGTGGTTGCCACATTATTTGTATACCAGCCAGTCTTTATTTATTACGTTTAACCATAAAGCCTCTAATTCTCCCTGCTAGTCCAGTCCTAAAAATCTATACTGTACAGCACTTGCATATATAACATAAGCACATCTACTCAGCCACATTCATGTTGCTGTATATTGTTCAGTTAACAACCTCATTTTTTTTGTAACCCAGTGCAGACCTATTACATGCTGTTTAACCATCTGAATCCTCTATCTGTGGGGTTTTTTTTTTCTCTGACTGAGCCACAACCCTTTTTAATCTAATTGCCTTCATTCCAAACCCCTGTCCGGATTGTTCCTCTTCCAAGCACACTTGGAAAAAGGAAGGGGGGAAAAAAACAACAACCCAAGATTTGCAGACAGAGCATTCGATTGTAACGGTGCCGACTAGCCAAGAAACGGGTCTTACACAGGACAATCGACTCTGAATTTATACTTTGCGCGTCATCGTTCCGCTTGAATAGCTTAGAGTGAGCCGCACAGTTTGTCCTTTTTTTTCTCTCCGTTAAGGCGTGTAATTCTGTGCACTTCCATCATCTTGGCCAGTGACCGAGAGGAAACTCGGTGGCGTGTCAGCCCACAGTGTAGACACAACCACATGTAGACGATGGGTTCCGTGCAGACTGTCAAGAAGAAGGGGGTTTCGGAGAAGATGATGAGACGGTTGTGGTTTGCTTTTTTTTTTTTTCTTTCCCCTTCGCGAAACAGAAGCTGCAAAAAAGTTGCGGCTTCAGGTTTCACATTTATTATGTCAACTGCAGGCGTTTTGTCAGAACTGCCCACAGGTAGTCTTCAAACTTACAACGGTTCGCTTCGTGACCGTTGCAAGCAACCGCACCACTGGGAAAAAAAGTGACTTAGGACCGTTTTTTCCACACTTAACAGCCGTTGGTCACGCAATCAGAATTCAGACCCTTGGCAACCGGTTCCTATTTATGACCGTTGCAGCATCCGGGGGTCTCGTGATCCCCTTTTGCGACCGACCTTCTGACGAGCAGAGTCGACGGGGAAGCCAGGTTCACTTAACAACAGTGGCAGGAAAGGTCTTAAAAGGGAGCAAAATTCACTTAACTTTTGTTTCACTTGGCAAGGGAAATGTATTGGTCGTAAGTCAGGACTACCTGTAAAAAAAAAGAAAACTTGGCTATAGGGAAGGCCTGTTTAACTTCCCGAAAGTGGATCCGGTGTAGCCCTTGAGAAGGGCGCTCTTCACCACCATGGCCCTACGTACTTGTTTTACAACCTTAGTAACTTTTAAGAAGTCTGGATTTCGACTCCCAGAATCCCCCGGTCAGTTTTTCCTTTTCACGAAGCTTCAGATGGTTCATCGGCCCCTCAAACTTTTACTAGATTAAAAAAAATATTTACTATTCCAACTAACGGCACTATCATTAATGACAGCAATTAACCAGTGGAGTAGCTTGCCTCTTAGAGTTGTGGATGCTCTTTGTCACTGGGGATTTTCCAAAATAGACTGGACTTTGAGTGGGATGGATATAGGATCTCCTGCCTTGCACGGAGGGTCAGACTAGAAGACCTCCGAAGTCCCTTCCAGCCCTATGATTGTACAATTCTATGATTATTACAATAACATCATTGATCTCTTTGGACTGTCCCATCCACCTCTGAGGTCAACACTGACCACTTTGGAGAAATTTGGACCAATTTGAAAGACTTTTCTTGAGTCTCCAGCCTCAAACAGCATCCTATCTTAAGAACCTGTGTGAATATTTTTTTTTGGGGGGGGGGTAGTTGGGACAGGCAGGGAGGGTCCAAGCCTTAATTTTCTAAGCTCAACCGAGTCCCAGTGTTGTCCTCGCACCGAAACGCTTGTACCGCAACCGCTGTCGCAATCCGGAATTGTCCGCACTTTTCAGTCGTTCGGGTTTTATACATGTCGAAAAATAGGGAAACCCGTGACCTTCTTCTCTTTTGCAGTCTTTTCCCGTCTTGTCATGAAAGTTGTGGTTATTAAAAAATAATAATACCGTGGTGTAAAAAAAAATGTAACGGCTTTCATTTGGAATGGGCTGTTTTTGTACATACGAATTTTGTAAATGCATTAAAAACGTGGTTTGTTATTCCCGTGCTTTAGACTCTGCCAAGCGATTTAAATTCTGCCGGGGAGCGGCTAGAAGTCTCTCTTAGAAGTAACACAGTCTGCAGATTTTCTTTAATCTAGCCATGATTAAAACTAAGTCACATCATCGGTGCAAACCCCACTCCCTTGATGAGGTTACCTAGCTGGGTCATGAAACGTCTGCAAGAAAACAAACTCAGAGAGCACCAAGGACCTACAGTCCTCCTCCTCCTCTTCCTCTCTGCAAACCCCACTCCCTTCTAAGCACTGATAATATTACTTAGCTGGGTCATGAAATGTCTACAAGAAAACAGCCAAGGACCCTACAATTAAATCCCAAGGTCAAATAGTTCTCTTCTGTTGGTACAACTCTTCCAGCGTTTCAATAGCTAGAAGAAATTGGAACTGCCATTTGTCAGAAATGGTGTAGGGTCCCCTGCTTGGGCAGGAGGTTGGACTAGATGACCTATAAGGTCCCTTCCAATTCTTATTCTCTGTTATCTGTAAGCTGGCATTGCAGCCAGAAATGCTCTCCATTTAGAGGTTTGAGTACTTAGAACCACAGTTAGATTCTACGGATGATTATGTCTGTTATGTCATTTTTTCTATTATGGGATGTAGACCCCCAGCCTCCATTTGGGCCCCTTTTCTTTATGAAGTGGTTTTCTCTTCCAGCTGCGAAGAGGAAAGGAAGTAGGTTGCTCACCCCAGCTCATTTCTCTATTCTGGTGTGCCACGCTTTGGATTCAAATACTATATCTTATATTGTGCCTTCTCTCCCCCCCTCCCCTTCCACCTCTCTCTTTCTATGCCTGTGCTTTGTGAAAGAAAAACTTTGAATAATTCTAAATTGGCTGAGCAGGATTTGCATTCTGCCTTTCGCCTAGAGCACACCAAAGGCAATTAATACTAAGAAAAAAGAAAAAAAAGAATAGAGATTGTGAAACCAATGGCAGCGTCTTTATTGGCGGCCATCTGTTTGCAAAAGGAATATGAGTTTTATATGCAGCGAGATGTGTAAAATCTGTCTATTAATGGCTTGAACAGATGGGGGGAATTTGGAGGCTCGCCTCTTTTCTCTCCCCTTATTTAATTGGGGTTGTAATAAAAGGAGGAGGCTTGGCAAAGTGCTTACTGCAGGGGTTCCCCCCCAACCAGGGAACTTCCTAGATGGGTGGACTTCAAATCCCAGAATGCCACCGCCAACAAGGCCATTGGTGGGAATTCTGGCTGCTCAAGGCCACACTGCTGGAAATTGCCAAGGGGGAGGGACGTTGGACTAGAACAGGGGTCTCCAACCTGAAGTCCAGGTGGACTTCAACTCCCAGAATTCCTCAGCCAGCAAAGCTGGCAGTTGAAGTCTTAAAGTCCACAAGTCTTAAAGTAGCTAAGGTTGGAGACCCCTGGACTAGAAGACCAATGAAATTCAACGTAGAGAAAAGGTCAAGTCCTACACTTAGGCAAAAAAAAACCCAAAGGACACATCTAGACTGGGTGAAACCAGGCTCAATAGCAGGAACTGGGAGAGGGATCCTGGAGTCTTAGTGGGCAACCAGCTAAATAGGAGTAAACCTCTTAGAGAGGGACGTAAAAGCCCTGTGAAATACTATATAAGTCTGAAGATGATGTTTCATTTCATTGTACGAGGCTCAATGACAATAAACTAAGTGCTATGACTATTGTGCGATTCATTTAACAAACGGCAGCGAGAAAAAGCCGTAAAACGGGACGGGGCTCACTTAACAAATGTCTCGTTTAGCAGCAGAAATTTAGAGCTTGATGGGAGAGGGGTGGTGTCGTACGTCGACAACTACCTGCGTAGAAGAAGAAGGCACGAGTTTGGCTTCTCCTGCACGAGAGGCGTTTTTTTCAGCCTGGTGCCAAATTAAACTACGGGGAAGCCTGAACCAAATGCTTTGTGTGTGAGCCTCAACCCAGCATCTGTTTTTTTGCAAAGAGATGCCAGATAGATTCTCTTCCCTTGGGGCGGGGGGGGGGGGAACAGTTGCTATAGCAACAACAATCCCCCCTCCCTCCCCAAGTTCTGCAAACCTTTTTGCTAGCTGATGGAGGAGATGCAAGCTTATTTTTTGATCCAGCTTCTCTGTTCTTCCCTGGGTTTTTTTTGTTTGTTTCCGTTTTATTTTGATTTTAAATCTCATCTTATTTATTTCTAAAATATTCTCCCCCACCCCCACCCCGGCCTGCCTTGATCTTCTGTGTCCCTCCCCTATTTTCCAAAAGAATAAATCGGCTTGCCTTTTTTTGGGGGGGGGGGGTTTGGTTTTAGCGTGCAAAGAGGATGGACCGTACACTTTTAAGGTCTGCCACAGAAGCAATTAAAACAATATTTAATCAGCTGGGAGTTGCTGTAGGGCTCGGTCAGCATCCGTGGTGGCTTTTTCGTGAAAGATAACATGGGGTTGAAAGCAAGGAGTCAAAAGATCCAACGGATGGTTGCAGTTGCCTTTTTCAAGTGAAGCTTGTTATTTTCTATTTCACATATTTAGGCAATACGTAATACGCCCTATGCATGTCTACACCTCACTGACTGCTATGTGGTAGCAACTGTGTATCTGGCTATCTCAATTATAAAGTCTTCGGGTAGAGAAATCACGCATGAGAAGTCTGTTTTTCATAAGTCATGGTTTTAGGTCCACCTTTTCACCAAGGGCTCATTTCCTTAAAACAGGATCCTTCGAGGGGAATCCTGAATCGGTTTCCGTTTTTTAAGATCGCTCGGTGGGGAGAACGGAAAGAGCAACCCTGGGATTGTAAACCCAATGAGTAAAACCAAAAGCTTCACTGTGGCAGAAGGGGGAGAAATCTGCTTTTCAAACCAGATCTTTTGCAAAGAGATACCGAATAACATCCCACTTTTTCCAGACTCTCTCTCTCTCGTCCCACAAGGAAGTTCATGCCGAGTGTGGCATTTTCTGGATGACCAACGTGCTAACAGGTGAAAGGATAACAGGTAGGAAATCTGATGGAGGCAGAATAATGGGGTTTCTCTACGCTCTTCTTTTGAGGTTGCTAACCCAAATGTCCACTGTCAAAAAATGGAGTTATTACATAACTTGCAGGATGATTACATAAACATGTAAAGTTGTCTCCTGCAGAGCTGTTTGCAATTGTGGTTTCCTCCCCGCACCCCCATGGTAGCGGCTCAGCCATGTTTGATAGGGATCTTTGTCTTGACCTGAAAATTGCAATAATTGAAGCGAGACTCATGGCTACGACTAGATCCC